AGAAAATTTTAAATAAAATACTAGGAAGTAGACTTATTTATTAATAGAATAATCTAACAAAAGAGTTTATCTGAATCATATATGTATTTTGTGAAAATCAATCAATATTGTATCCTATGCCAATAGGATAAGTAAGAAAAATCACATGCTTGTCTCAGGGGTCATTTTGTGAAATCTAATAAAATTCAGTACCCACTCTTAATGGAAAAAAAAAACAAAACTCAGCTCATGTGAAAAGCCTCTTAATATAGAGGCTTTTCACATGAGCTGAGTTTTGTTTTGGACTTCGAGTGAGAAACATTAAAAGTATTCTTAGTTAAAATGAGAAAAAGAGAATGCCTGCTGTCATTTTTGTGATTGATTTTGTTTTAGTCCTAACCAAAATTGTTTAACATTCCCCAAATAAAACAATGAAAAAGGTTGTCCAGACTAATAAGAGGTGTAAATATTGAAAAGAAAGAAATAAAAATCTTAAAAAAAATTTTTTTTTAAATGTTTATTTATTTTTGAGAGACAGAGAGAGACAGGGCATGAGCAGGGCAGGGTCAGAGGGAGAGAAAGGGAGACACAAAATCTGAAGCAGACTCCAGGCTCCGAGCTGTCAGCACAGACCCTGACGCGGGGCTCGAACCCACAGACCGTGAGATCATGATCTGAGCCGAAGTCGGACGCTCAACCGACTGAGCCACCCAGGCACCCCAGAAATAAAAATCTTCAATTATAGATGATACAATTTTATATTTAGAAAATCCTAAGGAATCACAAAACAACTTAATATGCATATAGATCCAGCAAAGTAGTTAGATATGGGATGAATATGCAAAAATAAATAGTAGTGTTATATATGAGCTATAGCAAGTTAAAATTTCTTCAACGTATGTTCTATTTACACACATTTGCCATAATTTTTCTTAGATATAATAGCATTAAATCATATAATCCCTACATGGGGGCAATTATGAGACATTCCCAAAAACTTGCAAATAAAGAAAATAAGAATCATAAGGGAGTTAAACTATAATTAATTACCAAATGGGTTAGAACCAGAGACACGTGAGGTATCTTTAAAGAAACAGTTTTCCAGGCCTAAAATTTAAATATAATCTGATTGAAGGGAATCAGAGGTCCCCAAGATCACCCCCAGGCTCAGCAGTTCACAAGGACTGATAATTCTCAGCCTGTAGTCACACTCAGTACGGAGATTTCTCACAGTAAAAGTCTCAAAGTCAGAAGGCACATGCAGTGAAGTCTAGAAAACAGCAGGCACAAGCTTCCAAGAGCCCTCTCCGGTAAAGTCACAGTGGATGCCCTCAGTTTCTGTAGCAACAAGTGAGACGACGCAGGTGAAACGTTTACCAGGAAAGCTCACTAGGAACTCGGTGCCCAGGGTTTTTATTAGGGACTCATTGTGTAGACACCCTCTGCCTGGCACTTCCAAAATGCCATTATCCTAGAAGGAAAGCAGGTGCTCAGCATAAACCATCGTGTTTACAGTCTAGATAAAGTGAGCCGCTCTTACCAGTTCTGCTAATGGTGGGAACCCTCCCCACATCTAAGTCCCCAGAAGCCAGCCTGCGACCAACTTTCTTAAGCAGGCCTTTCAAAGGATTGCTGTCAGGCTTTGATGAAAAAAAAGACTAACTCTTTGCACACAATATTTAAAGAAAAAAAGAAGAGAAAGGTTGGTCAACAAGAGAAACAAAGAGAAGAGAGACCTTGGGACATAAATAACAGCCATGTGCATTTTAACACTATCCAAGATCAAGAGCATCATGGCCAAAGATCCAGTAGGCCATTCCTGCAGTGTGGATAAATATCTCCAGCTGCCTTATCTGAAGAATGCTCCTTAATATCATTCATCTTACTCCCTTTGTTTTGATTGCAAGAAATTGCTAATTTATTTGTTTATTTTTTTTATATTGCTACTATATTCACAGTCACAAAATCAAAAATTTCAAAAAGGCTTTATTATGATATCTCTTTAGCTCTCCCACTCCCAATTGACTCAGTTACTCTCTCTATGGGGAATTACTATTGTCTGTTTCTTGTTTACCTTTCTAGAAATTTTTAAAAATGCATGTATAAGACAAAACAAATACATAGTCTTTAGTCTTCTTGGCTGTATAAATAATACTAACATACTATACACAAAGTCTCTATAGCTTACTTTGTTTTCACTTAGTAAGAAATGTTGGTGGGGGCACCTGGGTGGTTCAGTTGGTTAAGCGTCTGACTTCAGCTCACGTCATGATCACACAGTACATGGGTTCGAGCCCCGCGTCAGGCTCTGTGCTGAAGCTCAGAGCCTGGAGCCTGCTTCAGATTCTGTGTCTCACTCTCTCTCTGCTCCTCTTCCACTTATGCTCTGTCTCTCTGTCTCAGAAATAAATAAAACATAAAAAAAAAGAAAGAAATGTTGGTGATCTTTCCATATCCCTTCATAAAGAACGTCTTTGTTCCTTTTTATAGGTGCATAGTATTCCATTGTATTGTTGTGCCATAATTTATTTTTCCAATCCCTTGTTGCTGGTCATTTGGTTGTTTTTAGTCCTTTACTATTGCTAACAGTATTGCAAGGAGTAACTTGGGACTCAAAGTTATTATAGGTTTGAGAACATATTAGTAGCATCAATTTTTAGTTGTGGGATTGCTGTTAATGGAATATGCATCTGAATTTAATAGATACTGCCAAATTGTCTTCTAACAAGTTTGTACCAATTTATACTCCTACCATCTACATATGAGTATTTGTTTTCCTATAGTCTTGCCAATAGTGTATATTCTCAAGCTTTGGTAAATTTTGCTACACTGGTAGGTTAAAAATGATATTGCAGCATAGTTTTGGTTTTATTGCTCTTATTAGCAGCAAGGTTGAGCTTCTTTTCATGTTTTTGAGCCAGTTGTGTTCCTTTTCTGTGAATTTTCTGTGATCTTCCACCCATTTTTCTGTTGGGTCAGTAGTCTTTTACTTAGGGATTTGGAGAAGCTCTTTCTATATTGAGATTAAGCTTTGTAATGTGCCTTTTAGATATTTTCCCCAGTTTATCATTTCGCTTTTGATTTAGTTTATGCTGTATTTTACTCTGCACAAGGCTTTGGTTTTGTAACTGGGCTTATTAATCTTTTTAAGTTGATTTATTTATTTTTTAGTAATCTGTATACCCAGATGGGGCTCAACATGGGGCTCGAATTCACAACCCCAAGGTCAAGTGTCACATGCTCCTCCAACTGAGTCAGCCAGGCGCCCTTGGGTTTATTAATCTTGACCATAGTAGTTAGGATGATCTTCTAAGTTATAAAAATCATCCTTATTTTCTTACATTTTCTTTCTGTACTTTTATTGTTTATTTTTTTTTATATTTAAATCTTTGATATATCAGGAATTTATCCAAATATGTGGTGCAAAGTATATAGCCAACTTTTCTCTGGATGGCTATCTTAATTTTTTCCTACTGGGTAGCCAGCTAGCCATCAAATTTTCCTACTTCCTTTTTTTTCCCCCAATTTTTAATTATTTATTTTAAGTAATCTCTATACCCAACATGGGCTCAAACGCATGACCCTGAGATCAAGAGACGCATGCTCTTCCGACTGAGCCAGCTAGGTGCCCCAAATTTTCCTACTTCATAATTTGATTCTTTTTTTTTTTTTCTTTTGAGAGAGGGAGGGTGGGAAGGCGGGGGAGGGAAAGAGAGAACTAGAACTAGTGGGGGAGGGGCAGAGAAAGACTCTTAAGCAGGCTCCACACCCAGCACAGAGCTTGACACGAGGCTCGATCTGATAACCATGAGATCAGGACCTTAGCCAAAATCAAGAGTCGGACATGTAACCCACCGAACCACCCAGGGGCCCCTTCTACTTCCTAATTTGAACTATCATCTTTATCATATATACTCAAGTCCTGTCTGTTTTGGGGTCTAATTTTGGACTCTTTGCTCTCTTCCATTGGTCTTCTGCCCACTCTTATGCCAGTGCTACATATTTTTAATTGCGGAGGCTTAAAAGTATGTTTCAGTATCTCATGAGTCTAGTTGCCTCTCTTTGTTCTTCTTTTTCAGAGTTTTCCTGGCTAATCTACTTTTTCCATATGAACTTTAGAATTATTTTTTTCAGTTGCAGGAAAAAATATCTGGCCATTTTTATTGAGGTTGGTTCAAATTTAAAAAATTAGTGGAATGATGTCTTTAGAATGGGTTTCTCTCTAAGAACATCCTTTAAAGAAAGCATATCCTTAAGCAAAGAGTGGTCTAGTTTGAGTATCAGCTTCCATTCCCACTGTAAATTAACATACCGACATTCTGGTTTTATAGGTCATTCTGTGTGAGCAGTGATTTGATTCACAATGAGAAGTGGTTGCAAGTCTTCCCTGATTACTTCTCAGTAAGTCAGGTTTTAGAGCCCGTGAAGCTGAGAGCCAGATCCTAGAGCTTGGAAAATCCATGCTTGTGTATATTGCCCAGTGACGTGGCCTCTTGGTAGATAGCCAGGTGACCTCTCCCAGTAACACTGCAACCATGTATATGCCTTTATTTTAAAAATCAGTAGTTTCCTTAGTAAACTGCACTATTTTAAGAAAGCCTATTTTGGGGGCGCCTGGGTGGTTCAGTCGGTTGAGCGTCTGACTTCGGCTCAGGTCATTGTCTTGCAGTTCGTGAGTTCAAGCCCCGTGTCAGGCTCTGTGCTAACAAACAGCTCAGAGCCTGGAGCCTGCTTCGGATTCTGTGTGTGTCTCTCTCTCCCTCTCCCCTGCTCATGCTCTGCCTCTCTCTGTCTCTCAAAAATAAATGTTAACTAAAGAAAGAAAGAAAGCCTATTTTGCACGGTAGTTATACACGGATGGCAGTCTCTTCAGCTGTTACTGATGTTTCTGCATCTGTCTATGAGTAAAAGGGCCCTATCTGTACACTAACGATGTACTTTGAAAAACTACTATCTTTGTTACAGAAAGTAACTATCTCTGGCCAAATCTTTAATGAAAGTTTTAAATTCTTATGTTACAGAATTTCACAAACTTATTTGGACAGCCACTAGTCTGCTTGCTTTCTCCTACAGCGTATCCAAAGGCTTTACAAGGTACGTTGTCGTTACCTGTTATATCAGTAGGTTGCAGATAACTACTATGTACATTTTGAATAATACTGATCTCTGTCTTCCCAACCTATAATGATCACATGTGGCTTTATAGTATTTCATGTGGCAGCTTTCACTCTGAAATACACCCAGAAGTCTTGCCAATGACTAGACTTCTTTAATGTGCTACCATTAGGTCTTGAGATAATTCTGAAAGAAATGATAAATCATCCCTGAGAAAAATATGGTTTGTGGTCCCTTACTGTTGGGGAATTTGTGATTTGTGAATTTTACAATTTGTTTGGCAGGTATTGTTTTGTTTTGTTTTTTGTTCTGGTCTGCCTGTCATCATTCATATAGCATGATTTCCTATATCTCTGGCTACCTAATTTAGGCATCTTCTAAGACCATGAGATTTCTGGTCTAGAAAACTTCTCAGCCTCTGCCTGAGAGTTCGGAGAACCCAACTGGCACAACTTAAGGGTTTCTTTTATTCACATTTTTACTTTGTTGTATTTTTTAAATAAAAGAACCTCTTTTCAGTGTGCCAGGGAGACAGTGTGCCAGTGTTTTGGCTGTTTCTCAGATGGCTGAGAAATGAAAGACTTTGTCTTTAGTAATTTATCCTCGATAAACAACACTAAAATCGAATTCTAACTCCCAGTCATTAAGCTAGGTAAAAACTAAACAAACCTAACACTGTTTTAGCAGTTCTTGTCACTGTTTCACTATCTCCCTGACTGCGAATAGTGCTGATGTCTCTCTGTGGGAGATGGCATTTTACTGCTACTTCCCAGCCAGAAGTCCTGTCTGCTGACATAGTTTGACACAGGAAGTGATGGTCAGCATTTGAAAGCCTGAGAGAAGCTGGAGACTTTTCACCGTTGTTTTAAGGTAAGTTTTGCTATTTAACAGGGAAGAACATGTAGAAATATTAAGTTCATGTATCCAAAAACCAAATTACTAAGGGATAAAACTTACCTTCAAACAACGGTAAAATTCTCCTGCTTTGAGGACTTTGTTAACGTGTTTGTTATCATTTCTGGAGAAATATAACCTCTTCCAGTTATTTAAGAGTGCGTTTTCCTACCAATTTGTCCTATCAAGATGCAGCTTTGTTTAAAATTGCATGATCTGATGTGTTAATACCAAGATTATTTGGTCCAAAAGGCTTTACTGTAGAGAGGGTAAAAACACCAGGCTCTGGAGGCAAACTGAATTTAAATCCCAACTTAACCACTTACTCGCTGTGTGACCTTGGGAAGTTACTTAGCCATTCTGTGCCTCAGTTTCTTTCCTATCAAATGGAGATAATAATAGTACCTCCTTGTTAAATAATTCTGGATATACAGTAAGTATTCAGGATGTACTATCATTTTTTAAACTATCATTATTCTTAAGGCTTACTACTCTGCTCAGTTGTGGTGTATGTCCTTAACAGTTTTTAGTTTAGTATCGTATCTTTGTGCTAGAAAGCTCAGACCTTTAATCCCTCAAATTTGGCCTATCGGGACACAGAACTAGCGGATACCTAAGTATTTGGAAGGTCTAATTAGATTACTGCCCCTCTGGTATCTAAAGTATACAGTTCTGGGGCATCTGGGTGGCTCAGTCGGTTAAGTGTCTGACTTTGGCTCAGGTCACGATCTCATGGTTCATGAGTCCAAGCCCCACATCGGGTTCTGTGCTGAGTTCAGAGTCTGGAGCCTGCTTGAAGTTCTCTGTCCCCCTCTTTCTCTGCCCTCTCCCATTCATGCTCTGTCTCTCAAAAATAAATAAACAATAAAAAATAAATAAAATAATAATAAAGTGTAGAGTTCTCTCTGTAACCATGAGTTGCATGATTTATCAACTAACCTTTACTCAGCATTTATTTATGAGGTCCTGTGCTGGGCACTGGGGATAACACTCTAACCCACACAACACAGTATGCTCCTCACACAGCCAAATATCTCGCCAAAGATGCATTTCTTGCAGGTGTTTCATAGGAGCAAGCACATGGAACACATAGAGGAACTCCTAACTGGCCCTTGAAGGTGAAGAAAGTGGATAAAAAGATGTTAAAGTTGAAGGATATATTGAATTATATGAGGCTTGTTCTAGCAGAGCAATAGTGTGTGAGCCCCGACATAAGACCACTGTGATGAGAGCTTATGGAACATTTTTTTTTTAAGATTTTATTTTTAAGTCATCTCTACACTCAACGTGGGGTTCGAACTTACAACCTTGAGATCAAGAGTCACACGCTCTCCCGACTGAGCCAGCCAAGCACCCCAGTTTATGAAATATTTAGAGAAATATAAGTACTTCCTGCTAGCGGAAGGGTAGGGTGTGGGATTGTGTGGCCGAATCGTGGAAAACCTTTTAGGATTTGTGAAGAAATTTAACTGGAGGACAGTGGGGTATCATCAAAAGATTGTGAACAGAAGAGTAGCCTGGAAGAGCATTCAGGCCACCTTGTGGAGAATGAATTGGAGAAGAACATTGATGGAAATAGGGAGATGGTGGCGGCTTCAAAAGATACTAAACCCAGAGAGCCAACAGGATTTGGCAATGGACTAGATATGAGGGAATAAGGGAGAGGAAGGAGGCAGGGATGGACTTCCGGGTTTCTGGCTGAGATGCTGGTAGAAATGATGGTAAGAAGCAGATTTGTAGAGAACAAAAGAGGGAAGAATTTGCTTTCAGTTTCTGACATGTTGGGTTGGAGGTTACCTTTGAGACCTAGGTTGAGTATTGTAGTCTTGAGCAATTCTGTTCAATAGAAAGACAATGTAATTCACTTATAATTTTAAGTTTTCTAGTAGCCACATTTCAAAAAAAGTAGAAAGAAACAGGCAAAATTAACATTAATATATCTTTTTGTACTGAGGCTTTGAAATCCCACTTATATTTTATACTTCACGGTGCACCTCAGTTCGGACACATTTTAAGTGCCCAGTAGCTACAGCAGGACAATGCAGTCCTAGACCTAGCAAGCTCAATCTAGGCTGCAGATAAGAGAACTGGGAATTAGTTGGCATGTGATAACTGAAATTATGGGAGTAGGTGAGATCAGCATTGTGTAGGGGGAAAGAAAGAAAATACTGATATTTAAGGGATAGGCAGAGAAAGAGCAACTACTAAAGGAGAATGAAAAAGATTGCCAATTCTAGTACTCAGAGAATGCTATCATGAACTGCCCACGTACTTGCCGTATTTGGATGAAATTTGTTAGTTGGAGTGAAAAAGGCAAAGGAATATGTACCTTTTCCATTTCTCTTAAGTTTATACTAGGCTCTGTCGTAAGTTTGTTCAGCAGAAAGTAGTGTGCCTGGGATGTTTTTGTAGTTACATGCAGAATCTACTTTGTTTGATTTAATGATATAAATTTAATACATTGTCACTATATTAAGTTATTCCTCAAATGCATCTCTTATTTTTTGCAAAACTGTTGTCTCTATATATAACATGTTTGTTATTACAGATCAATCTCAACGAGGTAGCCTCTTCACTCTCTTTTTGAACAATCCTCTAATGGCCTTCCTATTTGTCTCTGGATTGTCAAGCATGCGCAGAGGCCTATGGGAAAAGTGTCAAGAATATCTTCGAAAAATCAACCGCGATATTGCCCAGCTACTGACCCATTCACGTTCAATAGGTACCCTACTAATCTAACTGCACACTTAACATACTATAACGGTTCTTAAATTTTTGAAATTGTTTGAATTTTTAAAGGTATTTGTTGAAGGCAGGAAAGTTGAGAAGGTTTTCCTGATCTTTCTTCCCCTTGAAATGTGTTCTCCTTTTAAGCATCTTTTTACTGTCATCTTTCTCCTTTTTGCAGATCAGGCATTTCTCCAGTTTTTTGGAGATGAGTTTCTTCGCTTGCTCCTCACAAGATTTATCTTTTGTTCAGCCACCATGAGGATGCACAAGATTTTTCGGGTAGGCAAAGAATATTATTAATGACCAATTTTACCATTTTAGGAATTTAAGAATCATGTATTATATTTTATTAAATATGTTATATTAAATACAATTTGAATAGATCCAAAGGCATTTTACAAATGAATATGTAACATATAATGATGACCAACATAAGATACATCTGAAAACTCAACATCCAGTTTAAGAAGTAGAACATTTTCATTACCTTTTAGGCCCTTCCCAGGTCCTCTCTCTCTCTCAAATGAAATTAAAATCCTGAACTTTATACTTAGCATTCATCTTTACGGTTTTGCCACATGTGTTTGGATTCCTGCACAGCATATGGATGGATCCACGTTGTATGTATTCTTCTACAGCTTGCTCTTTTTTCACCTGCTATTTTATTCCTGAGACTGAGCCAAGTTGATGACAACTGTAGCTTTCATTCATTTGTTTTCACGGCCCTATAGGATTCCATTGTTTGACTGTATATCAACAATTTCTCATCTATGCTACTGATGATGGACATTTAGGTTGTTTCCAGTTTTTTATTATTGTAAACAATGCCACTGTAAAACCTTCTATCAGTTCCCTGGTACACACATGTAAGACTTTCTATGGGGACTATACCTACAGTGGAACATGAGGTCGGATGATGTAAGTATCTTCAACTTTACTAGGTGATGCCAGACGGTTTTGCAAAGTGGTCGTCTCAGTTTATGCTCAGCAGCAGTATGTAAGAGTTATTGTTGCTCTAGTCCTCTCCAGCCCGTGTTGCGGTCTTACTTTATATCATGTATGCCTAATGGGTATAAAGTCATAACTCACTGTGGCTTTAATTTTTATTTCTGAGATTGCTTTGAGGTTGAGCAACTTTTCACATATTGTTCTGTGTTCTTTTTCTTTAATTTTTTTTAATGTTCATTTATTTTATTTTTTTAATGTTTTTATTTATTTTTGAGACAGAGAGAGACAGAGCATGAGCAGGGGAGGGGCAGACTGAGCCACCCAGGTGCCCCAGTGTTCATTTATTTTTGAGAGAGAGTGAGAGACAAAGTGTGAGCAGGGGAGGAACAGAGAGAGAGGTAGACACAGAATCCGAAGCAGGCTCCAGGTTCTGAGCCTGATGCGGGGCTCAAACTCACAAACCAGTCATGACCTGAGCTGAAGTAGGACGCTCAACCGACTGAGCCACCCAGGTGTCCCTCTGTGTTCTTGTTTGTAAAGAGTGTGTTCAGATCTTTGGTCCATTTTGCTATTAAGTGGTTTGGTTTTTTTCTGTGAATTCGTATAACAGCATAACACTGTTCATTGACTTTTTAAAAATTTTAGCCATTATACTTTTCATTTCTATAAGTAACATTTGGGTTTTTTTCAGATATGCCTGAACATTTTTAAGTCTCTTGTAACTTTTAGTTTTAAAATATGTTGATTTTTTTCCATTTTATTATGGTGATTTTAAACATGAAAAAAATTGTACAGTGAATATCCATATATATACACTAGCTAGATTCTTCAGCTAAACATTTTGGTATATTTGCTTTGGAATGTTTGTCCATTTACCCATTCCTCTTTCCATTCATCAGTTTATCTCATTTTTTGATGCATTTTGAAATAAATGGTAGACATCAATAGCCTTTACCTCCAAACACTTCATCATGCATATGAATAACTGACATAGGGGGTGCCTGGGTGGCTCAGTCAGTTAAGATTAAGCGTCTGACTTTGGCTCAGGTCATGATCTCACAGCTCGTGAGTTTGAGCCCCGCGTTAGGCTCTGTGCTGACAGAGCCAGGAGCCTGCTTCAGATTCAGTGTCCCTCTCTCACTCTGCCCCTCCCCTGCTCATGCTCTGTCTCTCTCAAGAATAAATAAACATTAAAAAATATTAAATAAATGACATATATACACTCCTTCTTTTTAATTTTTTAAATTTATTTATTTACTTTGAGAGAGAGTAAGCAGAGGAAGGGCAGATAGAGAGAGGGAGAGAGAGAATCCCTAGCAAATTCCACACTGTCAGCAAAGAGCCAAATGTGGGGCTCGAACTCATGAACCGTGGGATCATGACCTGAGACAAAATCAAGAGTCGGATGGTTAACTAACCGAACCACCCAGGTGCCCCTATATATTCTTTTTTTTTTTTTGTAACGCTTATTCATTTTTTGAAACAGAGAGACAGAGACAGAGTGCGAGCAGGGGAGGAGTAGAGAGACTTGGGGGGACAAAGAATCTGAAGCAGGCTCCAGGCTCCAAGCTGTCAGCAGAGAGCCCAACAAGGGGCTTGAACCCACAAACCATGAGATCATGACCTGAGCCGAAGTTGGACACTTAACCGATTGACCCACTCGGGCACCCCTATTCTTTCTTTAATGTAAAGTTCATATACATTGAAGTGCACAAAACTAACCTGTGCTATGAGGTGCATTTTGACAAATACATATACCTGTGTAACTCAAACCAATCACGTTATACAACATAGCACCAGTCCAGATAATTCTCTCTACACCCTTTTCCAATCAGTCCAGTACCCATTACCCCAGAGGCAATGCTATTTTTATTATGTTCACTCTAACTTAGTTTTACCTATTCATAAAGTTGAATTATACAGTATAGATTCTTTTGTGTAAACCTTCTTTGACCAAACATGTTGTTCTTGAGATTAATCCATGTTTCATGTATAAGTAGCTCGTTCCTCTTTACTACTGAGTAGTAATCCATTGTCTGAAAATACCACAGTTTATTTAGGCCTTCTCCCTTTGATGAACACCTGGGCAGTTTTAAATTTTTGACTACTATAAATAAAGTGGCTATGAACATTCTTGTACAAGTCTGCTCAGACATATGTTTTGAATTTTCTTCGTCATAGAGTATGTATGTGTTTACTTTTGTAAGAAACTGCCAGACTTCTTCTTAGAGTATTTGTACCATTTTATATTTCCAGCAACAGTATATAACAAAAGTTTCTTTATATCCTTGCCAGCATTTGGTGTTGCCAGTCTTAAATTTCAACCATTTTTGTGGATTTATAGTGTTTTCTCATTGTAGTTGCAATTTGCATTTCACTGAATAATGTGATATTCATTAATAATGTGATATTAGACATCTTTTCATGTACTTATCAGCTATATTTTGCTGTATTCACTGGTTGCCTTTTTCTTTTCTTAACAGTGGCTTTTGAAGACTAAACTTTTAAATTAGTGATGAAGTTTCAACTAACCAATTTTTTTTTCTTTTTTTGTGGCTTGTTTTATCCAAGAAATGCTCGCCTATTCCAAGGTCACAAAGATTTTTTTCTAAGTGTGCTTCTAGTTTTAATAGCTTTAGTGTTTACATTTAGGTCTGTGATCTATTTGAGTTACTTTGGTTTACAGGGTGAGGTAAAGATTAATGGTACTTTCTTTCATATGGATATGAACTATTTTAGTATAGTTTGTTGAAAAGATTATCCTTTTTGCATTGAGTTACTGGTGTAACATTTTTGAAAATCTGTCAACCGTGTATGTATAGAGATATTTCTGGACTCTAAATTCTGTTCCATTGACCTATAGCATTTTTCTGCAATACACTACTGCCTTGGTTATTCTAGTTTTATACTAATTCTTAAAATCCTATATGTGAGAGGCACCTGGGTGGCGCAGTCGGTTGAGCGTCCCACTTCAGCCAGGTCACGATCTCGCGGTCCGTGAGTTCGAGCCCCGCGTCAGGCTCTGGGCTGATGGCTCAGAGCCTGGAGCCTGCTCCCGATTCTGTGTCTCCCTCTCTCTCTGCCCCTCCCCCGTTCATGCTCTGTCTCTCTCTGTCTCAAAAATAAATAAAACGTTAAAAAAAAAATTTAAAAAAAAATCCTATATGTGAACCCCCCTAAAGTTTAAGCCTTTTGGTTGTTCTGGTTCCTTTGCATATCTATTTGAAATTTAGCATCAGCTTCACATTTTGAATGGGACTGTATTTAATCTTTCTAACCAATCTGTGGTGAATTGTATTTTCATAATATTGAGTCTTCCAGTCAATGACTGTGGTATATTGCCCCATTTATTTAGGTCTTTAGTTTCTCTCAGCAGCGTTTTGTGGTTCTCGTCTTATAGGTCTTACATGTATCTTAATAAATTTATTCCAGGGGTGCCTGGGTGGCTCAGTCGGTTGGGCGTCCGACTTCAGCTCAGGTCATGATCTCACGGTTCGTGGGTTCGAGCCCTGCGTCAGGCTCTGTGCTGACAGCTCAGAGCCTGGAGCCTGCTTCGGATTCTGTGTCTCCCTGTCTCTCTGACCCTCCCCCGTTCATGCTCTGTCTCTCTCTGTCTCAAAAATAAATAAACATTAAAAAAAAAAATTATAAATAAATAAATAAATAAATAAATTTATTCCAGAGTATTTCAAGTTTAGTGATGTACTGTAAATAGAATTGTATTTTTTATTTCATTTTCGAATTATTTTTTGCTAATATATAGAAATACTGCTGTTTTTAACATTGTTGTTTCCTTGCAGTCTTGCTGAATTGAAATATTAGTTCCGTTAGCTTTTTTATACATTCGTTAAGAGTTCATATGTACATGATCCTGTCACCATCAAGTAAAAACAGTTAAAAAAAATTTGTTTAATGTTTATTTATTTTGAGAGGGAGATAGAGTATGAGCCAGAGAGGGGCAAAGAGAGAGGGAGACCACAATCTGAAGCAGACTCCGGGCTCTGAGCTGTCAGCACAGAGCCCAATGCAGGGCTCAATCTCATGAACCACTAGATCATGATCTGAGCCGAAGTTGAACGCCTAACCAACTGAGCCACCCACACACCCCAAGCAAGAACAGTTTTACTTCTTCGTTTCCAATCTATATGCCTTTTATTATGATGGGCTTTTGTTTGTTTTGTTTTTATTTTTGTGTTTTATTTCAGGGTTAGGTCTTTTGGTAAAATGTTGACTAGAAATAGTGGGAATGGATATCCTTACCTTGTTCCTGATTTGGGGGAAAAATATTTAGTCTTTTGCCATAAATTCTGATGTTGACTGTTGGTTTTTCA